AATCAGAATCCTGCTGTTCAATAATGAGTGAGTAATTGACATATCACAGCACCACCACGCAGTTCCATGGCTGGGGATGCTTCCATGCTTACCGCTCGCCCAAATCAGAACGCAAGCACCCTCACCTTCAGAATACCTTCCTCTTAAAAGTGCTCCTTGAATAGCAGCCTTGGATCTTTCCATTTTACTTAACAGCCCCTTTTAAAACAAAGGCCACCGCAGTTTTAAGATCTTGACTCCAGGGGTGGTCAGAAAACAAAACAAACCCCTGCACTCCCGACATCTCTCTCCCTGCTGGCTCCATTCTTGGGAGCCAGCGGGGGACAGGAGATTGTGAAGGCTCCTGCTTTTCTGAAGTGCTGGGAGCAGGATTCTTGTCACTCCCAATCTCCATCTCTCTTTGTGACAGGGTTCCCAGCAGCCCTGTGCTTTATTTGGCAAGGCTTTGATGTTCATATGTATGTGTGTATGTGCACACATATATAATAAATATTATAGATACATATTTATATATTATATATAATATATGCATTTACACCACTTCAGCCTTTTTTTCTGTTCCCTCTCTGCTATTTCCTCCCATCCAAAAATAGACTTGGAAGAGGAATTGCAGTGGCAGGCTACATCCATTGTTTTGGATTGGCCTGTAACACAGAATGCAGCTTGATTTCAACAACCTGCACACACAAGTGAGACCCCTTCCATACCCACAGTCCAAGTTGTGTGTGTGTACCCAAACAACACACATACTGCCCACTCCCATGAGAAACAGGTTCTCCTTGTGGGTTATTTCTAGATGTTACTTAGATAGTCCTTCCTGTTCTTCTCCTTGATGTTTAAAGATGAGAATCGGCATCTTTATTCCAGATTTCTAGGACTAGGACAGTGCTGTCCTGCAGGACATGAGCTGGAAAACTTCTCTGAGGAAATCTGGACTGGAATCCAAAAACTCAAGTAAAGAGAGTCTTTGAGAAAGAAAAGCAATCTCAATTGTAAATTTCCACTGGAAAAGAATGAACAGCTTATCTTAAATAGATTCAGTGGTTAATTACCCTTTCTGTTTAAAAATGTGTGCCTTATTTCCACTTCAAATGAAGAAGGAAAGTAATGTTTGCCATAGCTTCAAATTAACAGCGTTTGATCAACCTACAGCTTTAAAATGAAATCTTCTCTTGTTTGGTGGCTTTTTATTGCTGTCTTATACACATGCTTTCAAGAGTATAGTAAGATATTTTTTGGAAAGGGGGAATTGGCCAGTTTAGATTAGCTAGGCTAGAAAGAATGTAATTCTTACAATAACTGTTTAGGATGAGTTTAGCAGTTGGTGGTTTGAAGAGGATGATGAGCTCTCAGGAGAGAAGGCAGCATGGCCAAGGAAACAGAAGGCCCTGAGCAGACAGACATGCTTTAATGCTGCTGTGGATTTCTGTGTGTGAGCTGTCTGTCTGTCCTGGGCTCCAGCAGTGTCCTGATCCCTTTTGTTCCAAGGCAGCGTGTGGCACAGCTTCCTGTGCAATGGCACACATCAGTGCCCAGGATGTAGAAATGATTCAATGTTTTGTGGGAATAAGATGCCGCTCCTGGTCTTGAGAGCCCTGAGTAGCTCTCAAGCACTTTCCAAGTGCTTGAGCTGCTCTGCAGCCAGCACATACACACTGCCCATGACCATGTCCCAGGAAGGGCTGCTGGAGGAGTAGATAAGAGAGGAAAACTAATCTGCTGCATGTTTTCCCACGCAGTGGGCTGCAGCCATTAGAGATCCCAGCCTGACCCCTTTGCCAGCTGATCCATGCCCAGCAGTGCATGTCTGTGAGCACCAGACACTCCGCTACACCAAAAAAGAGCACACACACACCCCAAGAGAGATGCTCTTTGTTTCACATCCATGTTAACTTCCCATCCTGAGCTTTCTCTCCAGAATTATTTGCTGACATGTACCTGGCTGGTAGGAGCTGCTAGAAATCTCCAAATCTGCAGAGAGTTTGCTGAGCTGTAAGGCTGATCAGCTGGGGACCACTGAAGTTGGATAAAGAATATGACCAGGGAAACCTGGGCTGGAAAGGTCTCACCTGTCCAGGTAAATAGCCTGCCTGCAGGTGGAGAATGGTCAGATGGGCTTTGCAGTGCAACAAGGCAGAGACAGCAGCCTGAGCAGTGCTTTCACCAGGGACAGCACTGACTTCCTTGTGGAGCCCACTGTGGTTTGAAGAAACTCAAGCCCCTGGTTAACGTCACACAGCTGATGTATCCAAAACTCCTCGTGCCATGCCCCAAGCACCCTGCTGGCATTACCAAGGCAGATCAAGGAAGGCTTCTCCTCCAAGGGGCAGTGAGGTGGGGAGGCAGCCAGACCATCTCTGTCTCTGCAGTGTCAATTCCCAACGGGCAGCCCTGACAAACTGCTCTGACCTTCGGAGCGGTGCCGGTGTCTGTGAGCAGCTCTGCCTATCCAGCCCGTGCTGCTGAGTTCCCTCTCCTCCAGCACAGGGAAAGGGGGCAGTGGCTGCTAAGCAATGCATCTTTTTGCCTTTGCATGAGCTGCTTATTGCTTCCTTGTGGGATTTATTTAGTTGGACTAGATGGTGCTGGGTAAACCCTGAGAACCAGCACTGGAACCACATCCTTTCCAAGGGATTTCTATCTCATCTTGAAAAAGAGGACAGACTTCCCAGTGGGGAGCTGTCAGCTCAGGGGAAGCCCTCAGGTGTCCCAACTGCTTCTCCATTCTCCTGGCCTAAGCAAGTGCCATCACTCTGCAGGATGTGTGCTGGGACCAGCTATGCCTGCTGCTCTGCCTCTCCCAGTTCTCATGGGGTTTTTTGTATGCCTCAGGCACTGTGTCAGATGCCTTGAGGAAAGGAGGTGTGTGAGCATCCCGTGACATGGAGTGCTGGGACAGGGACACCCCAGTGCTGTGCCTGGAGTCTGGGGCAGCACCGAGGCAAGAGTGGGACAGGAGCTTTGGAAGTGACGATGGGTGGGGATCAGGGTGGTTTATGGGCTCACAACCACTTTTGCAGCCACGGGGAATATTTTAGCCAGGGATATGTGGCATGGAGGCAGGGGAGGAATGCCTGTAAAATGTGGAGACAACTCCCTTGCAGCTCAGAGCAGTGGCTATTTCTCACCAGTCCTTGTCTATCCTGTGCCACTATCACCGGGTCAGGTCACAGGAGTGTCTCCAATTAACCCAGCCCTCTGGTGAGCCTTAATTGACACTCCAGGATCTCTTCCTCCCCCTTCTTGCCCCACCACGAGTTTCTTACCTCTACATCTGCTGCTAAGCCTTTGCTCCCAGCATCCCAGCCACTGCTGGGAACCAGTGACCATAACCCATATTTACTCCCTAAATCAAGGCAGCAGCCATCCCCTGGCTTGGAGCTGTGTCCTGAAGATGTCCCTGCTTGGTGCCCAGCATCAGGCTGTGTGGCAGGAGGAGGGGCTGTGGCTGCAGGGATGAGCACGGGGCTTGGGGACGGGTATGGGCTTCAGTGCAGAGGAGCTGGAAAGTTCCAGGAGGGGTTTTTGGTGGGTACTTGCTGGGAGAATACCAGGGTGGGGGAGAGATGGCTGCTGCTGTTTCCTCTTCCCAGTGCTCTTTCCAGAGACCACTGGACACATTTAACCTTCCACGTGCTGCTCCCAGAGATGAGCCATGTAGCTGAATGACCAGAGTTGGAGCATGGCTGCAGGACATAGCATGACCTGGCTCATCATCCTGTCTCAGGTTTGCTGCTTTGGTTGGGGTGAGTCCTGGGCATGTTTAGAGCTGCCCTGCAGCACTGCAGGTGCTTTGGGCATGGCTGGGACCCACAGACTGCATGTTCTCTTGCCGAATCATCTCACCATGGTTAGGTCCAGTAAAATGGATCTCCATCCTGCTGCTCTGGGAATGAACCAGGACCATCCCCAGAAGGACTGTGGTTTCCCTCACTGTGGCCCCGTCACCAAGGTCTCTGCAGCCACCCAGTAACACCTGCACAACAGTAAAGGTGACACCCTGATCTAGATGTGAAGAAACCGAGTCTGGGCAAGACACAGGAACTCTTGAGCAAGGGCCAGCCGTGGGAAAAATGAACACTGGCTGGTGGCCGGGGGAGAGGGCCTGATGCTTTCAGGAAGAGCTGGAGGTTCATGTGCAAGGGGGGAGACCAGAGCTGGAACATCTTCCATGGGAGAATGTGGTGCCTGGACTCTCCTACAGCCCAGCCAGCCAGGTTTGGGCTGGCATGGCAGGCCTGGGATTGCCCATGAGGCTCTCCCAGCTCTGCTCTGCTCTCCTGGCCCGGCGGGACTGTCCCGAGTGGGGCCAGCCTGTCGGGACCTGTCCCTTTTAAGCTCCTGGAGCTGTTGCCAGTCGTGGCTTAGTGGGGTCCCCATCCTTTCAACTGGCTGTTCAGCAAATTAAGAGCTTGCTATTAGGCTGCTAATTAAAGGCACTTCATTAGCAGCAGGGGAGGCAGCTCCTGGCCGCAGCAAAATTGGATTCCTCTGAGCTGCCATGAGCGGATTCTCTCCTCTCTGGGGCTGAGGGCTGTGTCCCTCCGTGTCCGGGGGAGGCAGCTGCTCGAGCCATGGCCGTGGGCTGCCAGCCTCTTCCCGAGCGCAGGGGATGGGGCACATTACCCCACGGAGGGAGAGGGGCCAGAGGTGATGGGGTGATGTGGGGCCGCCCCCTCGCCGCCAGCCTCGGGGATGGCGCAGTGGTGTTGCCCCACTTACGGTTCCCGGGGTCACTCCCGTTTAGAGGGGACTTGCGACAGCTCTCAAAGGTGGCAGAGCATCTCGTCGGTGGTTCCGCTGCCCCCAGGCTGGGCCGTGACCCCTCAGCGGGCCGAGCAGCCCGGCGGCGCTGCCCCTGCCCCCGGCGAGGGGAGAGGCTCCCGGACTCCTCCTCCGGCCGCTCAGGCGCCTCCAATGAGCCCCGGGGGCGCCCGGGCCGCCCTGCCCTGCCCTGCCTTCCCTTCCCTTCCCTCACCTCCTCCTTCTTCTATCTAAAAATGGGAGAGACCAGCCGGGCCGCCGCGCTGCCTTCCTCCCCGTCTCCTTCTCCTCCCTCCCCGCGCTCCGCCTGCAGCCCGGCGCCGCCGCTCGGGAACGGGACCCCGCGGCGCGGCGGGGACATCCCTGGGGTGAGCTCCCTGCGGGCCCCATCCCTGCTTCCCCTCTGCCTTACGGGGTCCCTGTCCCACTCCAGCCCCTGGCCTGACACCCCTCGGCCTGACATCCCCCTCCCTTTTTTCCCGGTTTGGGATTCCTGATGGGATTAGGGGGGATTTGCTGTGCGTGAGCCGGGAGCTGCTGGCTACCGTGCGGGGGGCGCTGCGAGGAGGGTCGGGCTGCGGCTGGGGAGCGGGGCTGCTCCGGGGGGACGCAGGCTCGTCCCATGTCCGCACCCCGCAAGCCCCTCTCTCCTGGAACACTCATCGCTCCGGGCATTCATTGCAGCGCCCAGGGCTGTCCCTGCAGCTGGGGGTGCTCTGAATGCTCCCGAGCACCCCGATCCTGGGCTGGGCTGGCTCAGAGCTGCAGGGTGGCTGTTCCCCCGCAGCCACCGGCTCCCCGCAGTGAGGACCCCCAGCAGGAGCGGGAGACAAAGGTGTTGGAGGGGGTGAGGGTTTAGGAGGTGGGTCCATGTGGTGTTTTGGGGTGAGATGGGACCTTCCACGGGAACATTTCAATGGTGTTGGGCCACTCACAGCAGCATCACTCAGCTGCTCTGTTGAGGTAAGGGGATGGATGTCCCTCCTTCTTCCACCTGCCCCTTTCCATCTGCTGCTCCTCCCAGCTGGGGGCAGGGGTGCCCAGCTTACCCAGGCTGGGTCACCACCACAGTAAAAAAACTCACATCACAGCCACGGGAAAGCTGGAATAGCTGGGCTGGGTGCTGGGCACTGGCATGAAGCAGTGCTGAACAGAGGATTCCATTGCACTGGGGTCCTTGCTCTGGGCCAGGGTCATCCCTGCTGGAAAAGGGGCAATTCATGACACCTTGGCTCCTGGTTCTGCTAGCCAGGATTGTGCTGATCCTTCCTCCTCTTTCCCAGCATCTCACCTTCCCCCTGCTGTCTGTCACCCTTTTGGTATCCTTTGGCTCATCCATGCTCTATGGCTACAACCTTGCTGTGGTGAACTCACCAGCAGAGGTAAGGGCTGGGCAATCTCTCTGGGAGCAGGGAAAATGGCTCTGCATCCCTCCTCTGGAGGGTGGAGGGACAGCTGTCCAGCAGCCCCACATCAAAACACTGGCATTTTACTTGAGCAGTCACCCAGAGAGGAATGACATGGAAAAGACATCAGAGTCCATGTTCATGTACTCCATATTGATCCCCCTGGAAAAGCAGGGCCTGGAAAGCTGGCTACAACCTCCCTGCTTCAGCTTGAGGGCTCTCTGTATCTCTAAGTCATCTTTAGTCCTCTCAGGTGCTGAAACTTGCTGACCAACCAGACCAGCACATCCCAGTCATCCCCAAACATGTTCTGCCCTGCATCTCCTTTAATGCTGTTAAACCCATGATATTGTCCCTATAGATCCTGTCTTCCCTTGTCTTCCCCTTTCTGCCAACAATCTGGTGCCTGTGTGTGTCTCTGCCCTGCAGCACATAAAGGTTTTCTACAATGCCACGTGGTCCCAGCGGTTCGGACACGGGCTGGGCCCTGCCCCCCTGACCCTCCTCTATGCCCTGACTGTCTCCATCTTCGCCCTGGGCGGGCTGGTGGGCTCCCTGCTGGTGGGGGTGCTGGTGGAGCGGTACGGCAGGTAAGGGTGGCACACCATGGGCCAGGGGCGTCAGAGGTGGGGTGGGACTGGAGGAGCTGCCCTGCTGCTTGTGCCTGCCAGGAATGGTGCTCTGAGCCGCAGCGCCCTCCTCGTCCTCCTGGCCGGCAGCTTCATGGGCTTCAGCCGGGAGCTGGGATCCCCCGAGATGGTGATCATCGGCCGCTCCATCACGGGGCTCCACTCAGGTGGGTGTCCTGGGCCGTGCACAGCCCTTCCTCATGGCTCAGTCCCCTACAGCCATTCCTAGGGGGATGGAGAAGGCTTTGTATTCCCCACAGGCTCTGTGGAGGGGTTCTCTGGTACAGCCAGGGCCACCTCCAACGCCATGGGGTCCCCACTGTGTATGATGCTGGACATGGGAGGAGATGGACCTAGGCTCTGGCTAGGTACCCTTCTCCCCACTGCCTCTGCCATCCCACTCCCTCCTGTGCCCCCAGGTATCTGTCTCAGTGTGGTGCCCCTCTACCTGGGAGAAATCACTCCCAAGAACCTGCGGGGCTTCCTGGGGCTCATGCCCAGCATCTTCATCTGCCTGGGGGTTTTCTCTGCCCAGGTCCTGGGCCTGCCGGAACTGCTGGGCAAGGTGAGCACAATACCCCAGCCCACACATGCTGGACACTGCTCTGCCCTCCCCTTGACACATCCTATTTCAACTCCTTCCAGGACAGGTTCTGGCCCCTTTTCCTGTCAGTGGTGGTTGTTCCTGCCTCCCTCCAGCTCCTGCTGCTGCACTGCTTCCCTGAGAGCCCTCGGTACCTGCTGATAGAGAGAAATGACATCTGTGGGGCCACCAAAGGTGAGGGGATATCCTTGGGCAGACTGGCTCTGGAAGGTGCTGGGTGATCTGGGTGCTTCTCCAAGGTCTTCCAAGACCAAGATGCTTCTTCATGGCATCCTTGCATACCCATACCTGACAGCCCACCACAGTCCTGTTGGTTCAGCCCTTCTGTCCCACCTGGTTGTGCCACAGCATTTCCATGGTACCCAGCACTGTGGTGTGATGCTCTTCCCCATTTCCTATGTATGGATTTCCCATATGAGGCTGCTGGGGAGGCTGGGCCAGGGTAGAGCCAAGCCCCTACCTGGTGCCATATCTGTGAGCATCCACCCTGTGCTGGGGACACGTGTCCATGGCCCCACTCTCCCCACAGCGCTGCACCGGTTCCTGGGGAGACCTGATGTACAGGATGTGATCGAGGAGATGAAGGAGGAGCAGCGGTCGCTCTCCTCCGTGGAGATGGTGTCGGTCTGGCAGCTGCTGCGGGACCGCTCCGTGCGCTGGCAGACGCTCTCGGTGGCGGTGGTGAGCGCCGGCATGCAGCTCTCGGGGATCGATGCCGTAAGCCCCATGGTCCTCGCCCCAGGACACGGCTGTGCAGACACTGAGCTGAGACCTGGCAGCGCATTTCCTCGAGTGCCCTGTGGCTCCATCCCCCAGCTCATGCTGTGTCCCCTCCTCGGCAGATCTGGTTTTACACCAACACCATTTTCGAGCGCGCCGGGATCCCCACGTCCCAGATCCCCTACACCACCATGGGCACCGGCGCCATTGAGGTCGTTGCCGGGCTGATCGGGGTGAGTGAGGGACAGAGGGACACAGCTCCTCCATGCCAGAGCCCTGTTGCCAGCTCCCAGCACCATCAAACAGGGGGGACAGAGTAGACCCCCAAAGAATCATCTGTGCCACAGCACAGCCCCTTTTCTGGGGGGCAAAAATGGGGATGGGAGATGGGATGAGACAGGCTCAATTTAGGAGTCACATCTAGGAGTGGTGAGATAATTTTAGGGTAGCAGGGAGGTTGGGTAGAGATGGCAAAGAGAAGGTTGGAGATGATGGAGGGGACTAGAAGTTTCCTCTGGCTCTCGCTTTCATTGTCCCTCTGTTAGCAGAGTCACATGTCCCCATCTCCCCCCCCCAGCCAAGCACTGGCCTGGCCCCAGGCTAGCAGCCCTGCCCCCTCCGCAGCCAGCCCTCATTTAGCTGGAGAGTTAGCACTGGGCCAGGCAGATTTATGGCCCTTGTCCCATCTGCAAGTGTCACCCAGGGCCAGCCCAAGCCACCCGGCACTAAATCCACTCCCTGACAGTCACAGAGATGGATGGGGGTGGCTGCTCCCAGAAAAGAGGGAACGAGTGGGGGGCTGTTCCCCACTCCCATAGCCCAGTCCAGAGTGGGGTCCCCTGCCTCTCTGAAGGGTACCCCCTCCTCCCCTCCCCTTTCTATGGGCGTGTCCCAGCCCCCCAGCAGTCTCCCAACATAGAGCCAGATTGCTTGGGAGCAGCCCCACAAATGGCTCCTGATGGACATGCTGAGATTGGTTATAAAATTACAGGCATTTGTTCTGCTGTCAATACCCTGCCTGCTCCCACTGCTGCTGCACTGCCTGCCCACACTCTGCTGTGCCCACTCCCCCACAAACACCCCCAGCACCTCCACCTGGCACTGATACCAGCCCCAACCCGGTACCCTAACCCCTGCTCTGTGGGACCATCTCCTGCCCCATGCATGCTCACCCCTGGCACTTTCCATGCCCAAACCCCAACCCTGGACTCTGAGCTGGGGTTGCCCCGGATGCCCAAACGCCACCGGGATCATCCTCCCACCTCCAGCTGGATCTGGGGTTCAGGGGTGGTCTCATCCACCTTGGAGCTCCCCAACACCTTGTCAGTCTCTGCTCTCTCTTGGCAGTGCTTCACCATTGAGAGGGTGGGCCGGCGGCCCCTCATCATCACCGGCTTCTGTGCCATGGGTGTCTGCTCGGCTGGCATCACCATCTCCCTGCTGCTGCAGGTAGGGCCTGGCCACTGCCACCCCCTGGGCCATTATCAGTGGTGGAGGGATAGGTAGAATCTTGGAGGAAGGAGCATGCGTGGAAATGAGAAGTGAGCTGGCTCTTCCAAGTCATGCTTTCCCTTCAAAGTTAAAGAGAAGGTAAATTTAGCACCAAGAACAGCAACAAAAAAAAGAAAACACAAATCCATATGAGAAAAATCCTGCTGCTTCTGGTAGCTTTTTTTCAGAAATAGTTTTTCCTAGGGAGGCAGCTGTGAAATGCCAGGGCAGGTGAAGGGTCCTGCTCCTGCTGCCTTCTTCCTGAGGATGCTCCCGTGGCTCTGGGGACACTGCAACATCATGAGCTGCTGAGCTGGGCTGAGGCTGACCCTCACCAGCTTTACCCCAAACCACTCATTGCTTGTCTGCATCTCATCAATGTGTCCTGTGTGGCCACTGTCCCCAAGAGCCACCGCCAAGCCAAGGGCAGGCCTGAAGCCCAGGGAATGTGCCAGGGATGCTGGGTGTGAAGCTCAGGGCAGCCCCAGCAGCCTCCCCAGCCCAGTGTCCCCTCGCAGGCCACCCTGCCCTGGATGCGCTACCTCAGCGTTGCCTGCGTGGTCGGCATCATCGCTGGCTTCTGCATGGGACCAGGTGGGTCTGGGGCTGCGGGAGTAGGGAGCAGTGGGGTGGGAATGGGGCTCCAGGAGACCAGCAGGGTTTGCAGGCAGGTGACAAGACATGAGCCTTGGCTCCAGCCCCACATATCCCCAGGGCACTGCCTCCTCCTCCTCTGCTTCCTCCTGGGCCATGCTCCAGGAGAAGCAGAATGAAAGCCCTGGCAGCCTTCCCCAGACCTCTGTGGAGGTGTCACCATTCCCATCATGGTGCAGAATCATCCTGCCCCTAGTCGAGTGCAGGCTCCAACAGCCAGGAGTGAAACCTGGACTGGTTTACCCAGTTGATGTATTAGCAGAGCTCTTAACAGATCTATAATTCATCCTCAGCCCAGACTTTATTCACTGTAATTACATCTTTAATTAGGATTTTAATGGCTCATTGTTCACAAACAATGATGAATAGGAGTTTTAAAACAAAAAAAAAATATATCTCTGTTCTGGGCAAGCTGTGAGTAAGAGTCCGTCAGGGGCTCCACTCCCTCCCTCACTTCTTACACTTGTTTTTTGGTTTATCTTTTCCCTGCATTTATAAAGAAGTCCAGCCAGCCCTGTTTCAGGCAGTTGGGATCCCAGGCATATCACCATATCAGAAACAATCCCTTGCCAGATTCCTGTGTGTCTTGGAATGTATTCTGGACCTCGGATCCTGCCCCCCAGTACAGGGACAGTCCTGGGACCCAGGAGTTCTGCCTCAGTGACACTTGGCTGGAGAGGCTAAGTCCTTCTAGAAGAAAGAACCACAACCTGTGTCCAGTTTTCAGACCACTTCCAAGTTGGTTTGGGAAACCACTTCCATATATTCTGGGTTTTTTCACTCTGCATGGGAAAAGCAGGTTGGAAAATGGCATTTCTGTGTTGTGCAGGAGATTCTGATGCTCAGAAAAGTGGTTGCTTCTTTTCCCCATTGATCAGCCACAGTGGCAACAGAAGCTGATTGATAGAAGGAAGTTTTCTAAACTGTTTTGATCAAGGGGGTCTGGAAAGGGCATTATGGAGGGTGCCAGGAAGATGTTTCTCTATGCCTGTGATTTCTATGACATTTAATATATCAGCATTTAGAAACATTTTTGGAAAACAAAAATGAGTGATCAAAAAATGATCCACATGAAATGTTCCACCTTTGTTTTGACTCATTCTGAAACTTTCCAGTCATGCAATTTGGGGAACTGGCCTGAGCACTCAGCAATGTGCCAGTGTGGTATGTCAGGGGGACATCGCCCCTCCACCCCCGCCCCAGACAAATGCCAAGGGAGACCAAGGGTAGGACACTGTTCCACCACACTCCCTGTCTCCTCCAGCTCTCCCAGTACCACTAGTTTGAACCATGAATCTTGCTGGGCTCCAGCCTTTGACCACAGGACTGAGATGGGCAAAACCTGTTGACCCCAGAGGTACCTGAGTCACCCTGTCCTCCATAGCCTCGATCTGTCCCCTCCCTCTGCAGCTGGTGTCCCCTTCCTGATGACAGCTGAGCTCTTCATGCAGTCACACCGCCCGGCTGCCTACATTGTGGGGGGCTCTCTCAACTGGCTCTGCAACTTCACCATCGGCTTCATCTTCCCCTTCTTGCAGGTACCAGTTCAGAGGGGCCCCGGTGATGGAGGGAGCAGGCACAGCCCTGCTGCTCTCCCAGGATGGGGTGCCAAGGCAGGGATGCCTGTGCTCTTGGCTCAGATTGGTGCTGGACAGAGCCAGCCCAGGGCAGGGTGATGGGAGGGAACAGTGCCTCGTGCCATGCCCAGTTTGGGAGTGCCTGGCTCTCTGCCTCATCCTGCTCTTGTCCCCAGATGTCAGCCGGTGCCTTTTGCTACCTGGTTTTCTGTGGTGTCTGCCTGCTGGTGGCCCTGTACGTCTACCTTGTCATCCCCGAGACCAAGAACAAAACCTTCATGGAGATCAGCCACGTCTTCGCCACGCGCCGCTCCGTGCTCTCCGTGCCAGCCCGCCTCACTGGGATGATGAAGCTCAATGGTTATGGGACTTTGCAGAGCAGCTCCCTGCAGGCCTCAGCCTCCAACCTCCCCTGATCTGAGTGGGCTGGGGGGGTGGGGATGGTGGAGGAGGCTCGGGGCTGGGGAAGGATGTGGGGGCCAATTTATTCCGACCTGGTCATGAGCCCCGTTGATGCACCAAGGTTGCCCTGACTGCTGGGCATGATCCCCATGCTGGAAGAGATGCCCCCACAGAGACAAGGGGACCTCCTGAATTAGGGAGTTCTCATTGCTCCTGGGTGTGGGGCCCTGGCAAGGGCTTCTGGCATGAGCTGTTTAATAAAGAGCATTGCCAGCAGAGCCATTGTTTGGCAAGTTTAGCCTGGAATGGCAGCAAGCAGGCGTGTGCTGGAATGGGCGGGTTCTTCTCCAGCACCAGGGAAGAGCAAAATGAGAAGAGGGGCTTGTCCTCCTCCCCCCTGGCTGGAAAGGTCAAAGTCACCCCACATTTTCTAGGAAGGGTGGGCAGGATTGTTCCCAGGCTCTTGCATCTCACCCCAAGTTGGTCATGCAAAGCTGGAAGCTGTTGCAGAAGGGACATAGAGCAGCTCTGAGCTGGGGGTGACTGTCCAGCCACTGTGCCCTTCCACAGGCTGCTGGAAGCTCTTGATGCCTGGCCTCGTGTGCTGGCCCCACAGAGTGCTCCCAGGGGAACTCCGCACACTCCCAAACTCCCTGAAGGACAAAGGGATCCAGGATACTCATCTCCTTACTGCACCCCATGAATCGCTGTGACCCCAAGGTGCTCTCCAAGCACAACCTCTCCCTTGTCTCTGCCCTAAATCCTGGGGCTGTGTTTGGAGGGAGAAGATGTCCTTTGTCCCAGGACCCCCCCACAACAGGAGCTCCCAGAAATACCATGGCAGACCATGGGGTTCCCAGACCCTCCAGGAGCTGTCATTTGCAGGAAAACTACAACATTTTGTTCTGGTGAGAGGTAAATCCAGACAGTGGGAAAGGCTGTGTGGCCAAAACATTCCCATGCCAACACAAACATCATTTTGTTGCAAATAATTGAGCCTTTAAAATTTTTTTTTCCCTCCAGTTTCCCCCTCTGTGGCAGCTCCACAGCTTGGTGTTTGGTATTTGTGGTCACTTAGTGAGGAGCCCACCCTTCCTGCATCCCTTGGCAAAGCCTCAGGGCGCCTCTGGGTGTGTCTGGGTGTGTGTGGGTGCTGGGCCCGTGGGAACAGGGACTGGGCCACACTGGATCCCCAGTGCCTGGTCCTACCACCCCTTCCATCCTCAGCCAGCAGCCCGGGGCTCAAGGGGATGAGCCAGAGCAGGGTCAGGGCTCCGCGGCACCAGGCGCTTCCCACGCCGCCTCCCTCCCGACGCGCTGCTCTCGGCGGCAGAGCAGAGCGGTAAATATGTGCAGCATTACATATGTATAATGGAGTGTAAATAACCCCAAAAAGTGCATTGTAAATAGACTCCAAGTTTATCCTTTATTAATGAGGCACTGAGTGCCCTGCTGTTTTAGAGCAGCGAGACTTTGATAATATCAAAACCTAAATTACACTTGTGTCTCTCATTCCCAGCAAACGACAGCATCATTTCAGGCCTCTTTGCCACTTGTATTTATTTATTCTGGTATTTATCTATCTCTCCCACCCAGCATGTGGGCCAGCTTGGAGGATGCCCCCTGCCCTCCCTGTGTGAGGCAATGGCCCCCCTGGGACCAGCCCCCCATTTCTGGGGTCCTGGCATAGCCAAGGAGTCAGAATGTTGCCTTATGGCCAAGGACTGCTCTAAGTAGCCAGTGAGATGGGGCAGACCTGGGAAATGTGGGGTCAGGACCCATTTCTGTCAGGGTTTTGGACCCCACCAGAGCCAGAAGTGCTCTCTTTCCAAGGACTGGGGGCCACTGGAAAAATTCTATGGTGCCTTCTGAATGCATTTGTTCCTGGGGACTTGTTTGATGGTACCATGTCAAAAGACATGTTCATCTTCTTTTCCATCAGGGCCTGGGGGTGAGGAAACCCCTGCTCCTGGAACACTGGCAGCTAACTCATCAGTTTTCTCTGAGGCTATTGAGGCAAGATTTTTTTGGGGAGTTGTAGTTCAAACTGCCCCATGCCACTGACCTTTTACTCTTGCAAAAGAGGGATTTGGGCTTCCTCTCTGCTTGTCTTGCTGGGGAGGCATTCCCAGCTGCTCCGCTGCAGGCTCCTCAGGAAGGATGGCTGGGTGAGCTCTGAGCTGCTTTCCCTTGTCCAGAGCTGCTTCCCCACATCAAAACGCAGCTCCCTGTTCTGGACTGGTTCTGTCCGGTGAGGATGAGGCTGTATTCTCTAGTAGTGTCCAAGTAGACCTTGAAAAACTGGAGAAGGTGCAAAGAGAAGAGTCTGAGGAATTACTTGGACAGCTGGAAATGCTGCTGATCCTCTTAAGGTTTGCAGAATCAAAGATGAAAGTGGCTCTCTCCAAATGCACAAGTGCCTTCTCCTGGTGTGCCCAGTGCTAAAGGCTGGGTGGGTTCAGGTGCTGAGGTATTCACATGGAGCGCTGGGGCTCAACCCTGGACAATGTGGAATGGGAGAGAAGACCCTGGTTCGAACTCTACAGATGCTTTGACTGGTGATCCTCAAGGAAATGGTCACGGCCCATCACTGGATATCTGCAGATCCTCCACTGAAGCCCTCTAGGCTTGAGCTCAGCTGGGTGAACGATCACATCCCAGCTGGAGAGCTGATTAAGGCTTGCTGGACACACCCTGGTGTCCCTGTGCAATCTCTGGGGATTGGTGAGGCCACAAGTGGCCACAGGGCATGGTCAGACAAGCCATGGAGCACTCACACCCTGCCAGTGCCCTCAGTCCCTATGGCTCCAGCAGAGATGGGCTCCAGGAGGATGGATCCTGGGGATCCACCAAGCCTTTGAGGCTGAACCCTTCTTGCACTGGTTTCACCAGGTGGTCTAACAGCAAACTGTCCCTGTCACTGCAATGGGGATGCCTTCACTCCCCACAAGTGTCACCTGAATGCAGAGCTCCATCAGGAACCAGCTTTGACTGAGGTAGGTTCCTTTGTGCTTCACCTCCTCTCATATTCCATGTGGGAAAAGCAGTGCTGGGGCAGCACCCTGTTGCCCCAGAGAGGCTGGTGCAGAATTTGTCCCTGCCTCTTGTCTCACTAAGGTTGTCCATACTTCCAGCTTAGCAGCCACGGGAGAAGGGTGCTGGACACAGGGAGCATTGCCTGGGTCAGCTCGGTTTGTAAACAGGCCCCATGTTTGCAGCCTGGGCCCTGGATGTATTTGAGGGGTTCAGGGACTGATTCAGGGACTTGGAGGTGGATGAGAGGCTTGACATGACTCTGCAATCCACGCCTGCAGCCCAGGAAGCCTGGGCTTCATCACAAGAGGTCTGACCAACAGGTCAAGGGATTCTGTCCCTCTAGCACACTCCAGTGATTCCCAGCTGGAATACTGTGTCCACCTCTGGGATCCTCAGCACAGGAAGGGCATGGACCTGTTGGAACAAGTCCAGAGGAGGTCATGAAGATGCTCAGAGTGCTGGAGCACCTCTCCTGTGGAGACAGGCTGAGATGGCTGAGGTTGTTTAGCTGGGAGAAGAGAAGGCTCTGGGGAGGTTTCACCGGGAAGGGACTTGGTAGAAGGGCATGTAGTGATAGGAAAAGGGAGAATTGTTTAAACTGACAAAATTGGTTTAAATTAGATATTATGGAGAAATTCTTGACAATGAGAGTGGTGAGGCACTGGAACAGTTTGCCCAGAGAAGTAGTGGATGCCCCATCCCTGGAAGTTTTCAAGGGCAAGTTGGCCATGTGGCTGCCCTGGACCCATGGGCACTGCTCACATAATAACTGCCAGGATGCAAGTCACCCAGAGGGAAAAGATTGCATGCCCAAAATTAGGGCAGCCTCCCCCCACCCAACAGTGAAAATTCCTCTCCTGTTTTGACATAGCAGAGGAATCTGTCAGCACCATCCCAGAGCATCTTCTGCCTGGCAAGGGTGATTTCTTTAAGGCACCTCTTGGTGCCTTCTTTTGTTTTTCTTTTGCCTGGTGGTGTCAGGAGTTTCCCAGGGAGTGGAACAAGGACACAGAGGCAGTGTAGGTGGGTCCATTCCAGGTGTCACAGCCCCATGGACACTTGTGCTATGATAAACCTGGCTCCCTCGTGGCTGAAAGTCATCCCTCAGTGGGGCCTCCCCAGGCTGAGACCACAGATTCATCTCCTTAAAGTGCAGAGCCAGGTCCAGCCTGCAGTTCTCATGGACTCTGATCAACAGTCTTTCTGCAGATAAAAATCTAAAATGGGTGGGGTTTTTTTCTGTGCTCTGGGTAACAGGCACTCAGCTGAAACCCAGCACTTCAGAGGGGTAGAGAACAGTGATTCATATATTTTAAAAACCTTAAATATTTTTCTGGCATCAACAATACCCACTGAACTTCAGGAAAAAAAAATATATATAATGAAAAATATTTACAGCTGGGTGGGGAAAAGTGTTTCTTACCCTATGAGAAGTAGAATAATTCTGTGTAGATGCCTGCAGCCCGTGGCTGGTGCTCTGCAGGTCTCTGCAGCAACTGTGGGGTGCCAGGGCCAGTCCGGGCCGGGTGGCCGGAGCGAGGGTGCCCGGCAGAGGGTGTGCACCAGCAGATGGCACTCCCAGAATTTATTGCTACAGCAAGCTGCCTCTCCGAGAGCAGTCATGTAGGAGATGTCCTATTATATGGGCAGTTGACTTTAATAGTCATTGTGTGCTTAAAGCACAGCAAAACAACAGTGGGAAAAAAAAAAAAAATCCCCACTCCACTTGGATGGCCCTTTTCCCCCCAGCCCTGCTAGTCTATTTGTACAGTAAATTAAAAATATGAATCACTTCTCTCTACTGCCTCCCCAAACACTCATCCTGTCAGGCTCTGTGTTGTCTTCATTTGTATTACCTTAATTTAATGTTAATTATGTTCTTCATTTACAAAGAACAAGCATTTACACTCCCTGTCTGGGGATTTTCCACACTCGCGGTCTCCACGGACGGGAGGAAGGGGAGCGGAGGCAGCGGTGCCGGGGAGGAGCTGTCCAGGGCCGTGGGAACGGGGGGAGCAGGGTGCCCCCCCGAGCGGGCCGGCAGCGATGAGCGCTATTGCCTCTCGATTTATGAAACCGTATCGCTGCCTGGGCTTAAATCCCCCCTAATAAATCCTTTTTAAAAGGTCCTCGGCCAATGCAGGGCAGTGATTTATGGCGGGGAGCTGGCGTGGAGGGAGGTTTGGTGGCAGGGTTTGCTGCCGGGGGTGTCCCAGGGTTGGGAGCCTGAGCACTGCTGGGCAGTCCTAAGAAAATTTCCTGCACACCTTTT